AATAAAAAATATAAAAATTTTGAAATACCTTGATAACCTAGACACTATCATAACCACCACAACTACACCCAAACAATACCACAACAGCCACCACCATAGTAGAAAAAAAAAAAATAAAAAACAACATAGCCTAGCCTAGACCCACCAAAAAAAAAAAAAAAAAGCCATGACCAACCTAGACACCACCACCACCACAATAGAACGAAAAAACAAAAATTAAAAACAACGATAACTTTTTTGTCTCACCATTTCCACCAATTCTCTTATCATAACTTTTTTGTCTCACCATTTCCACCAATTCTCTTATCTCCTCTCACACTTACTTTCTTTCCCATACTCATCTCAATTACAAATCTAACACCACCACAACGACGACACCCCTAACATTTTTTCCCCAAATTCTACAAATTAACTTACCCTAACCGCCATTTCCTCCACTGACAGTTACGTTTTCTTCCATCGGCCATCGGTAGCACAGTAGCTCCTCCACTGGCGAGAAGAATGATGAGGGGTGCAAATTACCTATAAAAAAAAATAATAATAAATTAACATTGTAAGAAATAGGAGAATGAGAAAGATAGGGAAAAGAAAGAGGTAGTGTTAACGGCTAGGTACTAAAATGAATCCCAAAAGAGAAAAAAATATTTGGGAATTAGGGTAGAGAAATATGCTTAATGATGGTGTGATGTTTCCAATTTTTCACATTTTTCATTTTTCCGGAATTTCATCATCGCGAGGGTATTTCTGTCTTTCCACGTTTTTCATACGGGATTTTAGTTAAGTCCATTTGCATATCATACATTTTATTTTGTGTAGCATTCATATGGTGGTGTATTATATATTTTACTGTGGCGTTGAGTTGCAAATAAAAGAAAAAGGAAAAGTTAAAGTTGGTGGTGGGACCCACCACTTATGTTTTTAGTGGCCTAGAGACCACACATGGACTTACATTCTCTCTCCCCCCTAGTTTCTCTCTCACTCTCTCAAACTCCAAATTTTTCTTCTTCTTTTACTTTAATCTTTAAAGCTTGATAACCCTCTCATTACTTGGAATTTTGGGGTGCCGTTTAAGGCAAAACGGAGAGCACGACGAGCTCTACGCGTGAGTACCAACAATTTCAGTTTTGGGCCTTCATAGGGTTTTTGAAATTTGGAAACCATTTTGAGGGTTTTGCACAAACTTAAGGTAGAGGCTTCCTAATCCGCATATTTTTGCACTTTTGTAAGTCAAATTACTTGAATTGTGAATTAACATGCTTATTTGTGCTAATTGTAGTTTGAAATGATTTAATTGTGTATATGTGGTTATGTGAGGACATGTATTAAATGTATTATGTGGAAATCATGCTTATATGATGAATTTATATGTTTATTATGTTGTTTATATGCTATGAATGATGGATGAAGGCATGCTTCGTTGTGTCATGTGAGAATCCTTATTGTTAAAGCATTAAAAGTATGAGACATGCATGTAAGTTATTGGGTTTCATGATGGGTAATGTTTTGGATAAAGTAAAAAGGGGATTTTCGGGAGAAAATTGTTTTGAATTGGTTTTGAGAAAACCCGGTCGCCGCGGGGGTACCAAAGGGCCAGAGTGTTAATATAGCCTAGAGGGAATTAGGGAGTCGCCCTAGCGTGATTGAGCTAGCTGGGCCCCATAATGACGCCGCGGGGGTACCAAGAGTCAGAAACACTAGCCAATCATTCTCTCGTGTCGCTGCGGGGTCACCAAAAGGTGGGTTATATTAACAGTTTAAAAGTGATGATTTTAAATGTGAAAAAAAAAAAAAAAAAAAAAATGGGGAGCAACATCGGCATGCATTACATCCCCATTGCATCATATTATTTATGTTGAGATTGGAAACCATGTTGTAAATTTTTGACATTGTATGACCCCGTTTTCCATGGTTCTATTCTTTATTTTGGATTCACGGGGACTCAAGAGGTGCGTCTTAGGCGCCACTTACTGAGCAAATTGCTCACCCTACCATATTTAAATTCTTTTCAGGTCACGGTAAGAAGCTGGCGAATGATAATCCACTAAAAGCACCTAGGAAGCATTTTGGATGTATTTTTGTAGAGCTTAAACTTATTTTGTAAAGATGTATTACTTTTACAACATGTAAAATATTTGGATTTATCATGTACATGGCAGTGGGGTAATGTAAATGAGTGTACCAACATTTAATCCTTTTGTGCATTTAAGTGACGTGTGGCAAATTATGTTAACAACGTGGTTGTTGTTGTTATATTAAGTGTTAAAATGTATTTAAATGAGTGTTATGGCGTGGGTGGTTAATTACCAAATGTTGGTGTATATTGGTTCTCATTGGACAGTGGGGAGTTGAGTGAGGAATTACCGAGAACCGTTCCATACGTCGACTGAAAGACCTAAACCAGTCGACGTGTAGCTTCCCACACATCAACCGGTATCCTGACAGTAAGTCTTTTTACTGTACACGTTCCAAACCAGTCAACGTGTAGCTTCCCACACGTCGACCGGTATCCTAGCAATGAGATATGTCACTGTGCCTGACCCAAAACCAGTTAACGTGTAATGAGCATACTTCGACCGGTTCCTGTTATATACATTTTTTGTTTAGTTTCCAAAATAATTACTCTTTAGCACCTAATTAATGTTGTGAGTATTTATTTTATGACCCAATAAAATTTAATAATTATATTTTAACCACATAAAAGACTATATTACCCAGGAACCTTATCTTAATTATTTTATACTACGAGTAATTGACCATTATACCCTTGGAGTCTTAAACCAATGGATTGTGACAAATGACCGTTTAACGTGAAAGAACCGTATTACCCTTGGATGATTTTGGGTTGTGTAAGGACCCGATTAACGATCCGTATCCAGTGGATCTGGGTCGTTACAGATGGGGGTAGTTTCATTAATTATCGGGACTGATATTTTGTAAATTAATTGATTTAAATATTAAGGGGCAAATATGATATTTAAAATCATATGGGTGTCATTGTTAAAAAAGTACCGAAATATCATGGGGTGTGAATGTAATTCAATAAAAAAACAGAGAAGAGAGAAAGAGTTATCACCGAGAAAATAAAAAAATCAAATAAGAGAGAAAGGAAAACGGAGGAGAGAGAAGAGATGAGAGAAGAGAGAGAATGTTTAGGAGAGAGAAAAAAAATGGTGAAAAATAAAATAAAATAAAATAGAAAAAAGAGAAGAGAAAATGGAGAGGGAAAAAAGAGTGAAAATATATATATATATAGAGAAAGTGAAGAGAAAACGGAGAGAGAAAAAAGAGTGAAAAAAAATATAAATATAAAAAGTGAAGAGAAAACGGATGAGAGGGAAGAGAGAAACGAAAAGAGAGAGAAAAAAAAAAAAGGGGGGGGGGGGGGGGGGGAAGAGAACATAAAGCTGAAGAGAGAAAAAAAATAAGGAAGAGAAGAGAAAACAGAAGAGAGAGAAAAAAAAAAAAAAAAAAAGAGTAGGAAGGAGATTTTTTTTTTTTTTTACAAAGTAAGGAGGATTAAAAGTTTTTTTTTTTTTTAAAAAAAAAATCACTATTTATATCATATGATTACACAAGTTAATAAAATATCAGGTATGTTTGACAAGACACGAACCAAGTATGTCTAAATTGGCAGGCTAACAAATGATTCCACCCAATTCATTTACTACTATTATTATTGGTTTTAAAATCAACCTTTCACACTTCTAGTGTGTCAAATACACATCAAAGACAGTAATGTCCACAACAGATGGGCCAACTTGAAAGAAAATTTGTTGTCGCATTTGTTGAAAGCTGAATTTTTTTTTTTTTTTTTTTTTTTTTTTTTTCTCTTACTAATGGAGACACACCAAACAAACATCTTATTTATATACGGAGTATTTTTTTATTTTTTATCTACGTCCTTTTCTTCAACATAATAAAAACTCACGCGTGTTACTAAGGAAATACTCATTAAGTCACTATTTGACGGCACATTTAATTTTATAGGATTCTTGGTAACAATGTTGTTACAAATTACAATACAGTAGTTAAGTTGTATTGGGACTTTATAATGGATAGCTAAAAAAAAAAAAAAATTCATATTATTATTCTTTTCTTTTCTTTTTTTCTCTATAAAACTTTACTTTAAAAAAATAAAAAATAAAAAATAAAAAAAGAAAGAAAGAATAAGAAAATGTAATTCAAGGTACACAGCCACCAATGGTCCACCAATTAGTGACTAAAGGCAGTCTCCTTTTCAAGACAAAAAAGGAAGATTCCTTGCAATTTCTCATGTTAAATCAGATCAAAGCATAAGAGGTTTCAATCTTATAACAGTTATATGGTATGTTTAAACTAGTCCAATTTCATTGGTTTGCATGAAATGAATGGTAGGATTTGCACCCTAACACCTATTCTATGATCCATTACATATTTCATTAATGGCTTCCCGCAACCGCTTATGACGACTATGCTATACCATGTTTATCTCTGAAAAAAAAAAAAATCAGACATTTATCATAATAATTGTTTATTAAGTCACATTTCTTACAGCAGTTATGCACAATATACACATATATAATGCATATTTAAAATGTTATATACATATACGATTCAAAAGAAGATCGAAACCATCAATTTCACTTTATTCTTTTTTTTATTATTATTTTTTTTTTTCTTGTTAACGTGTTCTGTCAGGAAAAATGTACGCGAACTTCATTACAGAAAATCCAATGGAGAGGGAGCCAAACCCACTACAAATTTTTAAACTCCTTGGTATATTTATTTATTTATAGGGAAGTTTATAGGGAAGTCAAAGAACCAACCAAGCAATTTAAAAATTTGTAGTGGGTTTGGCTATATATATTTATTTATTTATAGTTCATTTGCATATGTACTATATAGCGCCAAAGTCGTAGACTGGATATTGAAAAAGAAAATAAGCGAGCTTCAAAGTCATACATGGAATAAAGAAAATGGAAGGGCCTACAATACAATCAGTACAAAGACTATAATACAATGCACTCAACACACGCGGTTTGAGTTTACTTTGAGCTCTCTTTCTCTGACCACACTATTCTTCTTTTTCTTCTCTTTATTCATCTTTTTACTCTCCTCTCAAGTCTCTTGCCTTTGTAACACTTCCTACCAGTCATTGCCGTGCCCAACCCACAAAACCCATTAAAGCTGAAGTTGATGGGTAATTGTTTCATTGTCTCCTCCTTTATCACTCGTATGGGTGTCTCTCACAACTCTGTCCAATGAGAATTCTACTCCTTTCATGGCTTTTCTTCATACCCTTATTCACAGTTTTGTTTGGCATCAACACAGACTTTGTTTCTGGCAAATGTCTCGAACATCAGCTATTGCTGTTGGTTCAATTGAAGAACAGCCTCAAATTCAATTCTTCATTTTCCACCAAGCTCATACACTGGAATCAGAGCACCGATTGCTGCCATTGGAGTGGCGTGAGTTGCAACAGCACTACTGGTCGTGTGATAGGTCTCGACCTCAACAGCGAATCAATCTCTGGTGGATTCGACAATTCCAGTGCTCTTTTCAGTTTTGAGTCTCTTCAGAGTCTCAATTTGGCTAATAACAGCTTCAACTTTACACAAATTCCAGAGAGGTTCAGATACCTCACCAGTTTGACATACCTCAATTTGTCAAATGCCGGGTTTGCTGGGCAAATTCCAATTGAACTTTCAAGCATGACGAGGTTGGTTACTCTTGACCTCTCAACCCTTTTCCCTGCTATTCTTCCTTTGAAACTCGAGAACCCAAATTTGTCAGGGCTTGTTCAGAACCTCACTGAACTTAGAGAACTTCTTCTTGATGGTGTAAAGATATCGGCACAGGGAAAGGAGTGGTGCCAGGCCTTATCATCATCCTTGCCCAATTTGCGAGAGTTGAGCTTGTCCAATTGCAATCTTTCAGGCCCTTTTGATTCTGTTCTCTTGAAGCTAAGCAATCTTTCAGTGATCCGTCTGAGTCAGAACAATCTATCCACCACAGTTCCAGAATTCCTTTCAAATTTCATGGAGTTGACACTGTTGCGTCTCAGCTCTTGTAATTTGCAAGGAATGTTTCCAGACCAGATCTTCCAGGTATCAACTTTACAGACGCTTGACTTATCGAACAATAGATTTCTGAATGGTTCTTTGCCAGAATTTCACCACTATGGATCGCTTGAGAACTTGGTTCTTAGCGATACAAATTTTTCAGGGAGATTACCAAACTCAATTGATAACCTTAGGATGTTGGCCAGGATAGAGCTTTCCAATTGCAACTTCATTGGACCTATTCCAAATTCAATGGAAAACCTCACTCAACTTGTTTATCTGGATTTGTCTTTCAATATGTTTACTGGTCCAATCCCATCATTTCAGAAGTTGAAAAATCTTACCCACATATACTTGTCTAACAATAATTTAAGGGGTCAGATTCCCTCCATTCACTTTGATGGCCTCTCGAAACTTGTACATATCGATTTGCGTCACAATTCACTCAATGGGAGTATTCCACCATCGTTGTTGGCGCTCCCATCTCTGCAGAAACTTCAGCTTTCATTTAACCGATTTGGTGGCCAAGTTGATGGATTTTCAGATGCTTCATCCTCTTCATTGGATACACTCGATTTGAGTAGTAACAATTTAGAAGGACGCATTCCCAATTCTTTTTTTGAACTTGGAAATCTTAGCATCCTCTTACTCTCTTCAAACAAATTCAGTGGCCTTATAAACTTGGAAAATATTTACAAGCTCCGTAATCTTACTAATCTTGACCTTTCATACAACGACTTGTCAATCGGTACAAGTGGTAGTAAGTCAGGCTTGTCTGCCTTCCCCCGGATCACCACATTAAAATTGGCTTCTTGCAAGCTACGAAGTTTTCCTGACCTAAAGAACCAAACAAGACTGGTGCAATTGGACCTTTCAGACAACCAAATTGAAGGGGATATTCCAAACTGGATTTGGAAAGTTGGTAATGAAAGTCTAGCTTACTTGAATCTTTCTTGCAATTTCCTTGTGGACGTGCAAGAACCTTACGATATTCCTTCTAATCTCAGTGTCCTTGACCTGCACTCTAACCAGCTGCATGGGAAAATTCCAAAACCTCCAGAATTTGCAACCTATGTGGACTACTCGAGCAATAATTTCAGTTCTTTAATCTCAACTGATTTTGGTGATCACCTCATATATGCATATTTCTTCTCCCTTTCAAATAATAGCCTCACTGGAGTCATCCCAGAATCTATATGCAATGACAGCTACCTTCAAGTTCTTGATTTGTCGAACAATCATTTGAATGGAACAATACCATCATGTCTAGTTGAGATGAGTACCAAGTCTCTTGGGGTACTGAATCTGCAGAATAATGAACTTAGTGGCAATATTTCGGGGTCATTTCCTAACAGTTGTGCTTTAAAGACTCTTGATCTTAATGGGAATGATTTGGAAGGGCAAGTTCCAAAATCTCTGGCCAACTGCAAGAAGTTAGAGGTTTTAAACCTTGGGAACAACAGGATTAGTGCTACCTTCCCCTACTTCTTAAGGAACTCATCTGCTTTGCGCGTTCTTGTTTTACGTTCCAACAGGTTCCACGGAGGCATTGACTGTCCAGGGGGCGTCGATAGTTGGTCAAATCTCCAAATAATTGACCTAGCTTCTAACAACTTCAGTGGTAATCTGCCAGATAACTGCATCTTGAATTGGAGAGCAATGATACTCGACAAGAATGATGCACAATCGAAGCTCAATCACCTGCATTTTGACTACCTACAACTCAATGGCTTCTATTATCAAGATACAGTGACAGTTACCAACAAGGGACTAGAGATGGAGCTCGTGAAAATCCTAACTATCTTCACATCCGTTGATTTTTCAAACAACAATTTCCAAGGGACGATACCAGAAACATTTGGAAATCTCACATCACTTTATTTTCTCAACTTATCACACAACACTCTCACTGGCTCAATCCCAACATCAATAGGAAACTTGAAACAGCTTGAATCATTAGATCTCTCCATGAATAAGCTAAATGGTGTCATCCCAGCACAGCTTACGACTCTTACATTCCTTTCATTGTTGAATCTGTCATATAATTTACTGGATGGACGAATCCCAACAGGCTCCCAATTTCAAACATTCGGTGAAGCCTCCTTTGAAGGAAACGAAGGATTGTGTGGGCCTCCTTTGAAGACAAATTGCAACAAGGCCATACCACCACCATCGCCAAAATTTAAAGCTTCAGAAGTGACAGGGTTTCATTGGCAGTTCATATCCACTGGATTGGGATTTGGGGTAGGTGCAGGAATTATTGTTGGACCTCTTATGTTCTGGAAGCAAGGAAGGAATTGGTGCGATGAACACATTGATAAGTTTGTTTTGATAATTCTTTCAATGTTTGGATTCATCTACACCAGCTGCGAAGACATGAAGGTTGAAGCAGAGGAGAACATTGAAGAAGAACCCACAGATGACTCTGGAGTCACCGACAATGATGAAGATGAAAGGGAAGAAAAAATTCGAGGAAGGTACTGTTTGATCTGTTCCAAACTTGACACTAGTAGGAAGAAAGTCATACACAATCCAAAATGCACATGTCATGACCCAACACTGATGTCTTCTTTTTCCACATCATCATCATCTCCTTCAAGTCATAAATCACCAAATTCTTGAATTTTAAGCCCTTCATATTTTTCCTTTCATGTATATAGATATAAAATAGCATCAACTCTCAAGTGGGATGATGAAAGCAAATCTTTTAAGTTGTTTCTGTAATCTCCTAGTTAAGAAAAAGAAAATGGCTTTTTTGCAGTCTATTTCATTGCATCTACTCATCCAGAGTCCACCTCACTTGTATAAGGGGAAGATTCTGGAAACAACCTTTAGGACAGTGGAAATAGTCCTCCCGAAAGTATAAATCCCTTTTGTTCGAATCCCCTTAGCGCTACTTCAAGGAAATTTTCGGTGCATGTGGGACTGGAAACTACATGATTATGGAATGCCCTGGGAGGCCGGACACCATCATTGTTGACAAAATAATTTAAAAAAAAAAAAAAAAAAAAAGTATATAAATCTCTTTTACCCAATTTATATTTGCCTATAAGTAGTTTTATTTTTTATTTTTTACTTTTTCTTCTTGGTAGTTTCTGTTCTGGGTTTAATCTTCTTAGGTCTGTAATAGTGAAATAGTCTTGGTTATACTCACTGAGGAATTTCATCAAACACTACATGACATAAATAGGCAGAGCATAGAGAAAGTTAATGAAATAGGAGAGAAAAAACTTCACTACCAATACTGCACCCAATAACAATCAAATACTGATCATGACGATCAAGAACCAAAAGATTGACAAAGAAGATTAATAAACGAAGTTACCCAAGTGGTACTAAACAATACATGCAAAAGTTTCCTGACATATGCATGCATATTCAGAAAAATTGTATCAACACAAACCTGGCATAAACAAACTCTAAAAACAACAATGACCAATATTTAAAAATATCGTCGTAACTCGGAGTAATTCGTGTGCTATATTTGAATGAGTATTGCTATTTAGTTGGACTTAAAAAAACCGAGTTATAACGACCCTATACTTAGATTATCACGTATGCAAATATCACCGTTCTCAAGTTTTGCTTTCTCCATCGTCAGATCTTGTGAAGGCGTCGGATGGGGGTTTAAAAAACTACTTTGGTTACAAAACACGGTGGTCTTTTCATTAATCCAACCACTGGTGATCCAGCAAGATTTGCCAATGAACTCCCAACAATACTCAAATTCGTCTTTCGTTTGTACGAACCCAAATACACACATTCAATTTTCATCAAATTCGTCTTTCGTTCGTACCATACCAAACACACACATTCAATTTTCATATTTTTTTTCTTAGAATACCAAATACACACAAATTCACTTATCATAGAATCTCAAATAGACACTCACTCTCTCTTCCCAGAGCAGCAACGCAGTACTTACTCATAACCACATAACAGGGACAAGATTATTCTTGTTAAAAAGGGATTTTTTTTTTTGGGCCCTTTTTTACTTTGTGGGTTGAGAAACGTTATGATGTAATTATGGAGTCCCAATCACCATGCTAACACCTCCCCCAGAAATAAATTTGTTGTCCCATAAAGTAGGTCTCTCTCTATTTCCATGGTGATGAGTGATGAACAAATAAGAAGGAGGAAAAAAAAAAAATTAAACGAATAGGGGTCGCTGATGGTAGAGTAATAATGCTATGGTGATTTTTAAAGAAGGTGGGCCACCAGTGAGGGAGGAATTGTGAAACTCTATTTTTTCCTTATATAATCGTATTAAATAAATGTGTTTAGGTGACCAATAACATTGCCATATATTGAGTCGGTTTTTCTATCGATACAAGGAAATGGTCAAAAATATCATTTTTCTATTTGAATAATGTAAGTAGACATGAGTGGGGTCATTTTTTTTTCTTTAATTCTCTTGTTTTAAGAGACACACATTGGAAAGAGAGTTTTAACTTACTGAACTCAAAAAAACTTATGAAATATATATATATATATATATATATATATATATATATATATCAACATATATCATTCTATATATATACATAATACATATATATAGATCTTCTTTACAAAAATCCTTGTATATATATTTATATATAATTCTATATATATAATCTGAATCAGTCCAACAATTTCTATTGACTAAGTTTGGTGATGATGAGGAAAAAAAAAACTCTATTGGACTGAGTTTGGTGATGATGAGGAAGGAAAAAAAAGAAAGTGCAATGAACGGGAAGGAAAAAACGCAATAATAGGTTGAGTAAGTCAAAACTCTCTTTTCAAGGTGTATCTCTTAAAACAAGATAATTAAAGTGTAACGACCCGAACCCGTAGGTCCAAACCGTTAATCGGGTCCTTACCCAAACCCGATGTCAATTATTAAAAAAAAAAAATTTGGCATGACCTCTGCTAAAAAGGAACCTATAACAACCTGCTTCAATGCATAAAAATGCAATAGCCTCTCTTGAATTTTCAAAACTTATCTAACCTGGCCCAAAACACTTTGAAATGCATCATACTACTTTCATGGATGAAAAATATCATTAATTATTTACAGTTACAACTTTATTAACCCCATTTACATCAGAAATAAATATGATCTTTACAATTGTCCAATTTACATCATAATAGAATCAAGCTCAAAGTTACACTACAAGGTCATGCCAAACAAGTTTAATACATTTTTGTCATTGATGCTCTACAAAAGAATGACTCTAAAACACTAAAGGTTACAAAACATCCCATCTAGTCCCATCATGCTTGTGGTGGATTGTCATCCGCCACCTTTTTGCCGTGTCCTGAAAAATGATAATAAAGGGGTAAGCAAAAACTCAGTAGGAAGTGCCTAAGGCACACCTCTTGAAATCTCATAAATCCAAATAATGAATAAAAACAAAGACAACAGGATCATGTTATGCCGGAAAAAAAAAATACAATACAAGTTCAAGTCATAATGAAATAAATTCATGCAATGAGATGCAATGCCATGTATGTCGCTCCCTTGTTTTTTTTTCTTTCCAAAATCCAATCCATCACTTTTCAAACCGTTAACATAACCAGTCCCTTGGTGACTCCTGGGCGACACGAAAGAATGATTGACTACTGTCCCTGACCCTTAGTAACCCGCAGCGTCATTTGGGGCCCAGATAGCTCAACCACGTTAGGGTGATTTTCCTAGTTTCCTCTAGGTTACACTAATGCCAATTACCGGTACCTCCTCGGCGTTCAGGTTTTTCATAAAAACCTTTTCAAATCTTATTTTCCTAAAAAAACCCATTTTTCATTTCTTTCAAAACAACTTCCCATTTCCTTCCCAATGCTCATGCATGGATGCATCATGCTTCACAATCTCATACATGAATGAACCATGCCAATGCTCATCATTATACAACTACTTCAAGCTTAAAACACATGGCATGCTTTACAAGAACTTCAAAATAAATAAAACATACTTACATTCAACAATAATTTAGTAAAGCAAACATATAAGACATGAATTCTACTTCATACAAGCATGGTAGTCCATGTAAAATCAACTAAAGCACATAGTCACATATTTTATTTGCAACAATTTCATCATTTTAGAAGAAAATCAATACAATTAGTATGTTAAACCACAAATTAAGGGAAATAATTCACAATAATTCAAGAGATGGTAAATTAAACACCCCTACCTCCAAAATGATGAAAACCCCCCATTTGAATCCTAGATTTCGAAAATCCTAGGGATGGCCAAAGCTGAAATTGCTTACATCAATGCGTAAATCTCGCTGTGCTCTCCGTTTTGCCTCAAACGACATCCAAAAATTGCAAAGGATGAAAGAATAATCAAATATCGAAGTTTCACTTGAAAAGAAAAAAGAAAAATAAAGATAAAGAGGGAAAGAAGGAAAGGAGAGAGAGAGAGAGAAGAATGGAGGCCAAAATGGCCTCTTGGCCACCAATTGAATTAATGGAAAGTGGGTCCCACCACAAAATTTTAAAATTTCATTTTCTCATTTTCTTTTACACCACATAAATATATATGTACACAACCATATAAAATAGCACACAATCATTTAAATACCATATAAAACACATAAAATAAAATATATGAGATGCAAATGGACTCGACTAAAATCCATATATGCAACAATTCCTGTAACGGGTCCCACACGGGACCGTCCGGCCTAAAAAACGAAAAAATGTAAAAATGACCACCATTGCATTTCTAAGAATCCTAAACTAAAAAAAAATTCCCAACGAACTCTCGGACACAACCGGCACACCCCACGATGTCCGGAACGCAAAACGGTAGAAAACAAAATTGCTCTCGAAAAATCAAAAAATTCCAGGAAAAAAAAAAAAAAAAAAAAATTACCCCACACACGTGGGTTGATTTTAGCCAATTAAAATAGACAACTGATAGTCGACTATTGCTAACAAAGCTTTATATAAGTAAGATGGAACCTTTAATTAGAAGGTAGTGGAGCGAATATATAAATACGCATCATTAAAGTTTCTTTCTCTCCCCCCTTTTAACGAATTTATTACACACACTCTTTCTATTCTTTATTACATTGTCATTTTTAATTTGGGTCAAGTATAAAAAAACACCTCATAAGATGATATATAAATAATTAAATACACATCATTAAAGAAAATTTGTTGTCACATTTGTTGCATGCTGATATTATTTTTTACCTTACTCATGGAGACAAACCAAATGAACATCTTAAGGCCTGTTTGGTTAATGCTTTTTGAAACGACCCTAGCTAATGCCCAAATTTTAAAAAAAAAAAATCGGCATAACCTCCCCTAAAAATGGGCCTTCAATAACCTGTCCCAATACACAAAACACATAATATCATCCAGCATCCCATTCATCCGTTCATTATACCTCAACATAGTTGCTCTCATGGTGGAACATCCACACACCAATTAATCTAAATTCTCATAATTACAGTCTCAAAATACATGGTTAAGATTTAAAGTCTCTGTCTTACAACGTTACATGATACAATTGCATGGAAACATATACCATAATTCCATTAGTTTCATTTTCATCAAACAAAAGATAAGTTCGTTCTTAAGTTACAAGGCCATGAATACTAACTTAGTTACATTTCCACAACTACGAATATATATAGAACGGTCAAAATACAAAATAGCAAACAACCTTCTAACAACTTTCAAGCTTGAGGTGGATTGTTGTCCACCAGTTCATTTCCAAGACCTGAAAA